AGAGAGTTACGTCAAACATAACTCTCTCATGTTAGTTCAAGGAAACGTCGAGAGAGTTAAAAAATTGGGTGTGGTCGTTGGGAAAAGTGGGCGTGGTTTGGGCGTGGTTCGAACATAACTCTCCGAAATCATAACTCTCCGAGATAACTCTCCATTTCATAACTCTCCGTTTAGCCGGTCCCCATAATGTTAATGAGAGAGAGTTACGTCAAACATAACTCTCTCATGTTAGTTCAAGGAAACGTCGAGAGAGTTAAAAAATTGGGTGTGGTCGTTGGGAAAAGTGGGCGTGGTTTGGGCGTGGTTCGAACATAACTCTCCGAAATCATAACTCTCCGAGATAACTCTCCATTTCATAACTCTCCGTTTAGCCGGTCCCCATAATGTTAATGAGAGAGAGTTACGTCAAACATAACTCTCTCATGTTAGTTCAAGGAAACGTCGAGAGAGTTAAAAAATTGGGTGTGGTCGTTGGGAAAAGTGGGCGTGGTTTGGGCGTGGTTCGAACATAACTCTCCGAAATCATAACTCTCCGAGATAACTCTCCATTTCATAACTCTCCGTTTAGCCGGTCCCCTTTATATCTGTATAGTATTCTTTATATAATCGTTCTTCCTAATGATTATGATTGTATAATTGTTCATCCTAATTAGTATTCTTTTGTAGTCGTATTTTAAGCTATTCAAAACACTCGAACTCGCGTTTTATCATATCTAAGGCCAATGAAAATTGATATCATGTTTCTCGTCCCCACCCGCATGGGATTTATTTGCCGCACGAAAATTTTTCATTATTCATTATTTTTGAAAAATAGGCTTAACAAAACACCAAATTGATCTCCAGATCAAAGTTTTATTGCTGCATTCCGCAAGCGCAATTCAAATTGTATATTTCTAAAGAAGTTCTTGATGAGTTTACTTGCTCGCGTGTACGACAAACAAGATCAATGAGCCCGCCCTATTTAAGTAAATAAACCATTTCATAACAATTTCTGTTCAAAGCTGCTTATAATAACATTAAAAACGACTACAATTGTCCACAATTCAAAAGCGAATTTTAAAATGATCGAGATTTAATTGCAATGGCCGTTCGAAGTGACGTACTGTGCGATTGCTAATTAATAAGCTTTTCTTGGAGGCTGTACACACGAACAATTTTTCCTTGTTGAAAAACAGGCGTAACAATTAAGCTTTTGAACAATGCTCGTGGTCAAGAACAATTGTCAAAGTAAAAATAGTGAAGGAAAACTTGCTCGTCTTAAATTGCGCCAGTTAAATATTTCATGATTGAAGATTCGATCATTCTAACATTTGGGGGTAAACAATTTCTTGTTTTAGGGAAATTTGGATTTCGTACTTGAAGATGACCAAGTTGTGATTGAAGACAAAGATTTGTTATCTACAGTGGCGACGTTGTTGAACTCCACAGTAGAAGAAATAGAGAAATCATTATTGTATCGTATAGTGGCGGCACGAGGGGAAGTCATGGAAAAAGGACATTCATTGGATGACGCTTATTATGGACGTGATGCTTTGTGTAAGGTACGAGAATGAGAATAAGTATGTGTTGGAATGTGTATTGTATTGTGCACATTTTTTGGAAGAGTTTTGAGTACCTCGTTGGTTCGATTACAGGTTGTACAAACTATATGTACGGACTATACTGGTAAAATACACTGTTTCGAAGGGTCTATTACGGAGAAAGATTGAATTTTAAACTCTATTGAAGAGGTTACCTGTGTACCGGTAGTACTGTAGATGTGTTCTTGTAAACATCCCTGAGAATTTGTTTGAGTTGAAGCTCACGGCATGTGAGGAGGGGATACCTTCGTATCTATCGCGCCGTAATGTCTGCCTGCTTAATATACCAGTGAACAAACAGATTTTCCCGTTGTTCAGTTCTAGATGCACAGATGACGTCATATAACGTGGTCAGAATTTGAAATAACCCGCTGAGGGCGTGTTATTTGCCACTGATGTTCTTTATACCACGTTATTACGTCCTCTAACTTTGTATACTAACTGAATTGACACCAACTAAGACGTTTTGGAGCTTTGAAGCGCGACGAAAAGAGATTTAAACGCCATTTAACCAAAAGTAAGCTGAGCTTGGCAAAAAGATATAACGTCACTGAAATGACGTCATCCCTATCTCTCCTAGTAGATCATGGCTCTCGACCAATGAAAAGGCAGGTTGGGCCAGATTATTATGTATTTGCTTTTTTCCAGGCAGTGTATGACAGACTATTTTCGTGGATTGTTGGTAAGATCAATAATGCCGTGGAAGTGAAAGACATTCGACATGGCAAATGCACAGTGATCGGTGTTCTTGATATCTATGGTTTTGAAATATTCGACGTGAACGGATTCGAACAGTTCTGTATCAATTATTGTAATGAGAAATTACAGCAGCTGTTCATTGAGTTGGTACTGAAGCAGGAGCAAGAAGAATACAAGAGAGAGGGAATTGAATGGGTCGAGGTAAGGGAGACGTTTGAAGATGTTTAGATGAATCAGACCTGATTCAGACACCGCCCACTTGTGCGCCAAAGTTAATTATTGTCTTAGGTGCGACGCTGGGGAGATACAACAACGGTAGTGATTCAAACAACATACAAAATGTTATTCACAGGGGTTGGGCGCATTCGCGCGAGAACTCTAAATAAAATTCAAAACAACAAAGTAAAATTACTAATCCTAACAAATTACAAAAAAAATTGAGTTAAGTTGAGTGGAGCGGCGTATGAATCAATAGAGAGTTTAAGATGTGGCAAATCTAAAGCCCGTTTTCCACTCACGTATTTCGCCGCCGCTGGCGAAAAATGTCGCCACCGAAAAAGTTCGTTTGTTGTTCTTTCGCGCCGTCAACGAAATTAGGTCAAACAGTTGAAAATTTTAAGCAACTGTAGTAGGAGAACAAATTTCTTCAGCGGCGAATGAATGTAAAAAAATTATTTCTTTGTCAAAATTTTTCGCCAGCGGCGGCGAAATACGTGAGTGGAAAACGGGCTTAATACGCGGACCTGACAAAAACGCACGCTAAATTCACATTGTCAGCAACTCGAGTAAAAATAATGGATTCCTTTTGTCAACAAAGATGGATACAGGCGAAAAACATATTTAAACTGGCAACAAAAGCAAAAGTAGAACATAAGTAACTGTTTTTCATCACGCCCACGTTACTAGATTAACCATATCTTAAGCTCCATAATATTGCTCCAACGTCGCTTAATACCAACCTCGTACCTAGTGTCCCTGTGTTTAAAGGTTCTGGTGCACGCGTGCACCAGAACCTTTAAACACGGGGACCCTGGTTACGAGGTTGGCTTAATACGACAGGCTCTGCCTAACTTTTATCGCTCCAATTTCTTCTGCACTTAACTGTAAATGCGTCGCTCTTCTGCCACACTTAATTCGGCTGGAGCGGAAGCCTGTTGTACAAGGTGCAGATTTTCGGGGAGGGGGGGAGGGGGCTACGTACTCTCCTGCAAACACCAGAAAGCAAAAAACTTTCGATAATTGATATATACTTTCGTTTATACAGGTCCAGTACTTCAACAATAAAATCATTTGTGATTTGGTGGAATTGAATCATAAGGGTATCATATCCATCATGGATGAAGCTATAATCAGCGCTGGAAAAGTCACGGATGAGGTATATATTTTTTAAATAAAATCACATAATGGTTTTAATGTGGAACCTCGCTGCACCGACAGTAATCTGACTGGCTTGAACAGTGAGCATGAAGAAAGGATATCGAGTCATAAGATTTCATTTCAGACGAAGTTTGTTCCACAGATTTACTGACTTGATTAAGAAGAAATGAATTCCTAAAATAGTTTGTTTTATGAGAAAATTGAAATTATTGTTTTCATCGTAAGTGCGTGATTTATAGCCTGGATCAAAGGTACATAAATAGTATGTTATTAATCCTGCTCTTAGTTTAATGCTTGATTGCCCGACAGGACAGAAATCAAGAGGTTTTAGTTCCCCGACAGAGATTTTGCGAGCCCTGGCGAGTTATTCTTTACACAGTAATAGTAATGTCCATAATGTGCGTAACTTAATTGTTCGAGGAGCTGAACATTAGATTCTAATGCGTTTGGTTTGGAAATTTCTTTCTCGAGATGGTACCGTGACTTTTTAGTCCAATTTTTAGTTTTTACATGAATAGTGATAATTCTCAATGTTGCACAGGGCTGAATCAAAAGGCTTATTTAAACGATCATTAAAGAGGCAGTTTTTTTTCATTCGTAAATTTTCAGGTGAAAAGATAACTGAAGTGAGATGTTTGATTTTTATTAGATGATCTTGCATACGATGGACCAGAAACTTAAAGACCATCAACACTACGCAAGTAGACAGGTATCAAGAAGCTTGTAGTTATGATAGTTAAACTATACTGAATGACTACAATGTTCAAGTCTCTATTGGTAGTTATCGAAATATTTGCTCGCAAGAACATGTATTTAGACTTGAGAAAAAGACATCAACATTATGCTACAATCCTATTGGTTAAGTAAAACCAGCCGAAAGATTTGGGTGCGATAAATTAAGATTTTTAATTCTACATCATGGGTACTCCAATGATTATTGCCATGTACTTGAGCTAGTACGAAATATGTTTACATTCTCAAGACTCAAGGTGTCTTTAAGATAAAGTACGTAAAGTATAGTACATAATAGGGATTGATTCAGTGCACTGAATATAAATATTATAGAAAGAACAAAAAGGCGCACAGTTGCATTGACTCCAACATTCTTTGGTCCCATCATGTAATCTTGAAAGGTCTGAGCCAGTGTAGATAGTGACAATAATAACAAAACTTCCGTTGATAGGGATGCAACTACCTGAAAAATATAAAGAGTCGAAATACGAAACATCGAGATTCTCGTTGTATTTTTCAGGTATAGTTACATCCCTATCTACCGAAGTTTTGGTCTCATCAGCCCAATCATATTTTATGCCAAGACGTGTCAGATTTACATATACAGCTATACTTTAATTAGCCTTTCTCACGACGCCATTTTTGGGGTACTGTAGTTTTTTCTTAAACGATTATAACAATGTGAAAAGCAATATTTCAGAACAAACTAACTATTTACAGAGTAAATTTACCACCATACACCCACAAAATTATAAAATGTCGCCGTTACGTGATGTTACGCTCGCAGGATTGGCAAAAAAGTACCCCAAAAATGGCGGTGAGAAAGGCTAATTACGCTTTTGAATATCTTGGAAAGTTTGTTGGTCATATATATATATATATATATATATATATATATATATATATATATATATATATATATATATATATATATATATATATATATATATATATATATATATATATATATATATATATATATATATATATATATATGGTACCAGCAAGAGCGCGACAGTACAAATTACTTACGTGGTTGTGCCGAACTGTAATATTCACGTACCTCGGGTATGTAAGCACGCGAATTATCGCTCCTCGTAAACACAACGTAAACACTATAGGCTGAAGGTGTTTCTAATCCGTAGTATGTTTTTTTAGACTCAACCTTCAAATAAAATTCTTACACACAATCAAGATTTTAAGGTTCAGCATTACGCAGGCGATGTAATGTAAGTAAAAGTGAAAGTATGCGATTTTACATGCAAAAGAGGTATTCGACGTATGGCGCCCCGCAACAAATTTTTATCGTATTTAAACGAATCACGTATACGTGAGGATGATGTCGAAACAATATGCGATCTGAATTATGCTTCACTCCATCAGTTACTAGCGGCCTTTTTTACCTTATAGAAATTAATTTTATTTCACACTTGAACATCACATGACAAGAAATTCATATATAAAGTTTTTTAGACACCTACCCTATGAAATTCCCAAGGATTTCGTCAGAGTTTGGTTCTCCTTAAGCTGGATTTCCACTTGCAAGAAAAAGTTCGCTGTCGAAATTTTTTGCTCAAATTTCTTTTCAATTGTGAGCAGTCAAGAGAACGGATTTATTCGAATGGTCACAATTCAAAAGAAATCAAGCGAAATATTTCGTGGAAATCCACCTTTACTCCTACGAAAATTTCTTCGAAATTCCAGTTGCCTGGTGCATTTAAAATGCAGTAGACCAATATGAAATCGGCTATCGTTCACCTTCGTTGGTAAAAAATGTAATAACCTATTTTATTTTATTTTTCATCACTGTTACTATAGATATAGAGTTGAAGGATTTATGGACAAGAATAAGGATACATTGTTCCAGGATTTCAAAAGGCTATTGTTTAACTGGTATGAAGTCAGATTTTTCTCACAGTTATGTTAAGAATAAGGCTAGGTTATTCTATAGAAGTGTCTTTGATCAAAGTACGTTATTGTTGTTTTGCCATTGTCTTACAAAGACATATAATCTAAAGTCTGTGTCAAACATACATAAAACCAATATGATCGTAGACAATTATACAGTGTAAACCAACCCTGAAACTACACAATTTCGTTTTCGATCTTCCTTGATGAGATAAGTAAGTACGTAAGTGGGGTTGTGCCAATAATCCTTAATTGCAGCTAAGAGATAAGCTGATTTACAAAGTACGCAGCTCAACCTTATCAAGAGTCCAAAGGCTTTCTATAAAGAGTGCCTCTGGCAGCCACCACAGTTAGTCACCACGAGCACAGTTAGGCCGCTGTAAGGGTCAGTTTGGGGGCTTATCCAAACCCACCCTGTCGATATGCATTCCCTGTGAGAGGAAACCGGAATACACCGCGGAAGAAGCTCACTTTAGGTAGAGCATTGACTGACAATTTAAATAAGTCATGCGTCGCAGGGAGAAGCCGAAGCCCCATCATATGAATCCGTCACGTCTTGCGCAATGTGGTATCAGGTATCTTTAAAGCAGATTAAATTTCTTGAGCGAGAATGCACATGTGTTATTGTGTTATAAATGCAAACATACGTAGGCAGTTTTGCAGATGATATTTGTTGAATGAAAACACAAAATTTTTCAAGTTTATGGTGGCTAATTGTTCGAAGTGTGGTGTAAAAATTTGTCATTAATTGAACATGACATTGAATTATCTCATCAAGGAAGTAGCTAAACGAAAATCAGTAAAAGAAGTACAGTACTTAATTAAAGTTTTGACGATTTCATTATGGGACGTTATGTCTTCTTTTATGTTTCTTTCAACTTTTTCACTATTTTCTACTGCGTTTCAGTTTGCAATATATGATATGATACATCCTTCCAATAATTATGTTGCAAATCCCTCCATGCCCGTGTAGCCTCATTCTCATGAATTGCGGGCGAGCAGTCTTTCGTCTTGATTCACGAGAGTGAGGATGCCAGGACAAGGAAGTATTCGACATAATTACTTGCAATAAAGGGTGACTGTATTGAAATTCAAGGTCTTGTAGATAGAAATTATCGAGTGCAACTGAAATTCATATTTTATTTTCCAATAGCAACCATTCAGCTCTGAAAGAAATGTGGCCGGAAGGAAAAGAGGCAGTCACGAAGGTAAACTTGTTGCGAAGTTAATGGAAAATCATATAGTATCATATATAACAATATATTTGAAATATTGGCGCAGCTTGTACACAGCACAATAGCAAATACACAATTAAGAAGCCAACAACAATTCAATCCAGCAGAATACTCAATCCAGCACGAAACAAGTGAATACAGTTACCAATCCAATTTAATAAAACAAGAGATTTTGGAGACCCATTCGTGATGATCCATACCAACGCAATCATTACTTTAGTTACGTCAATATAATCTTCAACTTGTTGAAGACAACAGCTTAGTCAAGTAATAGAAGGTTTTTCAAAATACAATTTTACAATCACAAAAACATTTTTGGGCAAAATTATTTTTGACCCAAAAATATTTTTAGCTTTATCCAGTTGTTTTATGAACACGCTAACACGCTAGTTAATTCTTTCTCGTTTGTATACACTGTTGACAATTTTTGAACGGTTTAGGTGACGAAGCGACCTCCAACTGTTGCTACACTCTTCAAGAGCTCCATGATTGCACTTGTGGAAATTTTAATGATAAAGGTAAAGGTTAATTTATTTCTGTAAATTAATTTCGCACGTAAAAAGACATTTATATTAACGTTTTGTAATAACCATGTTTAATTGTAAATACTTTAAATGTGGTATTTATCTGACAAATAAATATTCTTTGATTGATTGTGTAGATACTATACAAGTAAATTTTGTTCTTACAGGAGCCTCATTATGTGCGTTGTATCAAACCAAATGATATCAAGTCTGCAGCCATGTTCGATGAACATCGAGTTAAACATCAAGTGAGTAACATAGAACATCGTATAAAACACAGTGAACATTCGATTCGGAGCACGAAGGTTGTTTGGAGCCAAATTTGATGTTATTCATGCAGGGGAATATTAATCCGCGTAGGATTTAATTATATTCATGGCGGCCAGCTAACATATTAGCTTAATGCACAGACTATACGCTTGTAAATAGGCTGTGAGAATCTTTGCAAGATTATCCAGATCTGATTAGTATAGATTCTGATTGATCATGGCCGAATTTAATTGATTCTGATTGGTCCTGTTCACCCCCAGCAGGCAGCAGCGCTATCCTGGTCCAGGTAGTTGATTCTGGTTGATCATGACTGATCTTAATGAATTCTGACTGCCTGGACTTAAACATCAATGAACTTTGGACTCTGATTTTCAAAATTGAAATAATATTTTCTTGACACTTGATCTTCTTTGTAAATTTTACTTCTCTCAATTGCTTCAAACTACTAAATTTTCGATGCAAAAATGTTTTTACACAGGCTATATTGCAAGTTGAATTAAGTCTTTGCTCAGGCTAGCTAAATAATCATTCCGTGCAAAAGTACACACATGCACGAAAAGAACTCAAAACAATTATAAATGCCATTTTTATTCTTTCCAGGTTAGTTACTTGGGTCTGTTGGAGAACGTGCGAGTTCGAAGAGCTGGCTTTGCGTATAGACAGCTATATTCAAAATTTTTAACAAGGTAAGGTCTTGTATATATTTTATCAGGTGAATACCACGCCCTTCATGATAAAAAGTTTCTCTAGTTGTGACACTGTTAAGCCTGTTACATGCATAGTAACATTGGCAGTAAAATTAAATTGCATATTAATGTGACACACTGTTGCATTGTGTAACTATAAAGTTTAACATGGTGTTGCACAACTCTATACAGTTACGTACTAGTTATAACCCTAACCGGATTCAGGTCTTTGATTGATACTAGTATTTATTCGGGAAAACCAACATCACAAGTTGTGCCTTTCAGTATCATCAAAATTAATCCGCCATTTTGGGTGGCAAAAATATTTTATTCAACCGACCACTACACAGCTATGGACTATTATAGCTCTTCAAAGTGCTCAAACAAAAGCAACAGCCGCAGTCAGTGCTACAGTTGCTTTGACACCATGTTTTTTTTAATTAAGGAGGCTCCCTACAGTAGCGTGCGGGATGTTCGCTAGACCAGTACGTGAACTATCCCATGCAACCGCATGACCAAAACAAAACCAAAATTGACCACGCTTTTTTTTTTAAAAAAAGCTATTTCTGAAAGGTTTCTAATGGAAAAAAGCGGTGAATAATACTTCGTTTTGAGTGCCAAATCACTTGCGAGTCTATACAGCAATTCTACATATGATACGAATATCACTAGACCAAAAAATAGCTACGAAACAATGTTTTTTATTTTTTTTTAAATATACACTGTCAACTTGTAAAACATTTGCAAAATTGCATACAAACGTTTAAAAAGTTGTTCACTTCTCAAGAAAACGTTCACGTTTTTAGTCGTGTTTCTACAAGATTAAAGTGAGTAAATGTAAACTGAAAAATATTTCAGTTTCATAGCCTAATTGTTCATTTTTAGCAAAATATACAAAACCAAACATGAAACAAAAAAACACGTCCACCTGTTAAAATGCTGATACAGTTTATACCCTGTAGATTGTTGTTTCATCGATTTGATCCTTCACAATAATCCTTCCATGGCACTCAAATAAATCGAAAAGTTGACAAAAAACAAAACAGTAAAAACAACATTGCCGCTCGATTTTGCTGAATGAAAGCTCTTTCTGCGCCCGCGTACAATCTTTTACTAGTCAGCGACGCTTTTCAATAAGGGGAATTTCTCTGAATTTCTCGAGTTACACGAGGCTATTTTCTAACTTTATTTGCATTTTACTCATTAGTTTTATCGGTGACCTATCTTCAAATTTTGACCACGAATTTATTTTGCTGTAAATTTTATAAATTTCAGTTTTTAAAAAAATCTTTAGTGTGGAAACTTCAGATCATCTCGCAATAGATTCCAAGCTCTGATTACTCTTGGGAAATATGAGTGTCTATAAAATTCGGTGTTACATCTAATCTCATGAAAATTGTTAATGTTAAAAGATCTAATGTTATATTTGACAGACCGTTTTTTAACAATATTTGAGACATCTAGATCGTATAAGCCGTTTTGGTATTTAAAAAAGAAAACCGTTCACGTTCTTCTATGTTCCAAGGGAAGCAAGTTCAGCTTAACTAGTCTCTCGTGTAACTGCAATGTTGAGGGTAATCCAGAATAAATTTAGTCTCTCTTCGTTGAACATTTTCTAACATTCGCTTGTATGTGACTTGTTCAGGGGACCACAGTTCGGATGCATACTCCAGTTGAGGTCTTATCAACGAACAGTACAGAGCTTTCCTAATATGGACATCTTTTATATCTCTACATACCCTTTTAACCAAGCCTAAGGTTCTATTCGTTTTCAAAGTTATCTCTTGTATGTGTTGAGACCATCGTAGGTTATCTGTCACCGAGATACCTAGGTCTTTCACTGATTTAACTCGATCCAGCAAGTCGCCATTCATATCATAATGGATATGCTTGAAAGACTTTTTATGCGTCAAACGCATAAATTTACAATTTTTTAGTGTTGAACTGCATCCGCCATCTCCTACTCCAGTCATGAACATTTGACTGATCACCCTGAAATTGTTCCACGTCAGCTTCGTTTTTTATTACTCTAAACATTTTGCTGTCATCGGCATAAAGCCCATTAGGGAAGGAGACGCTATTTGGTTTGGCAAGTCGTTTATGAATATTGAAAATAATAAAGGTCCTATAAGATGGAGCCTTGTGGAACTCCTGCCAGTTTTTGTAACAACAAGGGATGTGACACTTTGTCAAAGGCTTTAGTGAAATCTAGATAGATGATATCGATCTCGTTACGTTTATCCAAGGCTTCCAAAATGTTATGATAAACCTGAATTAGTTGCGTAGTACAATTTTTCTGACGTTGGAAGCCATGTTGCAGTTTGTTGATTCTAGAAGATATGAAATCATAGATGTGGTTATGAACACATCGTTCCAGTGCTTTCGAGAGGATGCATAATAAAGGGTCGGTCTGTAATTTTCCACACAAGCAGCATTTCCGTCTTTAAAGACAGGTGTCACATTTGCTTCCTTCCATGCAGTTGGCATAACCCCTAATTTTAAGGACAGGTTAAAAAGATTACATATAGAAGGAGAAATTTGGTCGCCAGTTAGTTTCAGGATTCTTGCAGGAATATTGTCTGGGCCAGATGCTTTGTTAGGGACCCTAACAAAGCATCTGGCCCAGACAATATTCCTGCAAGAATCCTGAAAACGCAGATAGGCAAGCGCGAACTTCACTTTCTGTCAAAACAATCTCGTTCAGGGAAAACTCATCTTCAGAATAATTTTGTGAGTCATTGCATATATCAAAATTATTGCTCCTCAACCTGTTAGCAAAAATCTCGGTGTATGGATGGACTCTAACTTTACCAAGAGCACACACATTTTAAGAACTAGTTCTGGGTTTTATTTCTTATATAACATAAGACGTATCAGAAAATATCTTGCCAGAGAATTGACTGAGACACTAATACATGCATTCATATCAAGTCGTTTGGACTATTGCGACAGTTTGTTGTATGGACTACCCAATTGTCAGCTGGCTCAGGGTTGGTAAGTTAGATGAATAATTAGGCCAAATCGTCATTAGTGCCGTTTAGAAAACAAAGGGCCAAGACAAAGAAAGTGTGTGACGGTGTTCGGCCTAATTATTCAGCAACCTACCAACCCTGAGCTTGGCTAAGTTACAAAGAGTGCAAAATGCAGCTGCACGTCTAATATTTCAGGAATCGAAGTATTG